ATGAATGTCAACGGATTTTTTATATGTTTTTTAAATCATTTTTTATATGTATTACTTAAAATTTCATTAAAAAATTTTCCAAAATTCACTCTAAACAAACTGAAAGTGTTAAAATCGAATGTAAATTTTTTGCTAAATAACTTAATATTTGTTTTAATTTGTTTTTATTTTTTATAAACTTAAGTAAAGGCAAATATTGAAAAATTTAATAAAAATTGCATTTAACTGCAAAATAAAGTAAATTAGCTAATATAATAGAAATGATATATGTAATAAATAATTTTTAAAAATTTATTGTATTCAAGAATTTTATGAGCAGTATTTCTAACAGATTTTGTATATTTGACGCATTGTTAAAGCAGCTGTCATCAAACATAACCACAAATAACTTATATACAACGCATAGCCCCTAAGAAATACAACAGTACCTGTACTGACAACTTTTTCTTACATAGTGGACATAGTCTAAATGTTTGCATTGGCATCGCGAGGCAACTAATCGGCAATATACATAAAAATTAGCTCATTAAGCACACATAAATACACATATAAGTAAATATATATGCAACTGGCTTAAAAATAGCCACGAAGTGCTGATAATCCAGGGTAAAACAGCCAAACGCGTCGCAATAGAGCATTTGGAGGCAGATAATGAATGCGATTATTGTAACAAAATTCATTTAAATGAGCAAGAGCAAAAAGTTAGCGTGACAGCGCGGTGCTTAGTCCACCAGTCAGTCATTCAGTCAATCAGCCAGTCGGTCATTTGGTTAGTCAAGCAGTCAGTGGGTCATTCAATCACGCGTTTGCTAAATTGTCAATAAATGCATGTCAGCTGTAATGTGTGCTTGTATGTTTGTGATTTTTTATAGTCGTTTGTATTACAACTTCATTATTACAGCTTATTTAAAATGAAATAATCATCAGGCTACGAAACTGTGAAAAATATAAAAAGAAACAAAGCAAGTTGAAGTCTTGTTTGCCTTGTTAGAGTCTCGATTTAATTACTCTTATTAATTTGTTATCGATAATTAAAAAATTCTAACCGGCATCGACCACGTAGCTACTTACTTTATTTGTATTCATTAATTTTCTTATAAAATAAATAAAATTAATGCAAATTATTTATCAGAGGCAGATGCATATACATATATCTCTTAGTAGTAGCTTCCAAACTTTGATCACGACACGGTTTGAAACCACTCAGCAGATATTTCTATAGATACCAGAACGATACCCCTAAACTTTTACAGAGATTACTCGACCGTGATTAATGTGGAAGCCTGCAGTGGAGATTTTCGTGGTACAGTCAACTTTTACCGTTATAATTTTGTATCAAAACATATGAGATGATAGTACGGTCATATGGTTTTCATATTATTTACTCGTTTCCGAATTTTCACAGAAATATACAAGGTAGAAAAAAAAGATTTTCAAAATTTTTGAATTTATACTCTACTATTCTTTCTGCACAATCGCGCACTATAGAAATCTTACTTTCAGCACTTGAACTATTCATCTTCACCCGAAAATAGCTGAAAAGTCTTAACCACAACGAAAAGTGTCCACTTCATTCACTTTTCTATGGCACCAGAGCACCGTAAGCTTTCGTGGCAAAGGGATAAGGGGAAAAAACAAAGTGAAAACAAAAGTAGAATAGAATGGAATATGTTAAGTGCCTGCGAAGGTATGCAAGCACTTTTCGTGACAACAATAGCAGCATGAAAATTTTAGACGGCAACACGTGAAATGGATGGTGACAGGTGTTTGGGTCAAACAACTACTAGAATATGTAGTACTATACTAGTGTGTCTCCAGGGTGTACATATGATGGTAATAAGCATCACATGACATATTTCAAATTTTATACCATAAATGTATAAATATGTAGCAGCTCCAACAGCGCTTAGTCATGTCACGAATGTAAATGCGTGGAATTTTAAATAACTGTAACACGCCACTGACTGACCCAGAAAGTAATATAAATTTTTAATAAATTTTCAGGCTTTGAAACATGTGAAGCAAAATTTTTAATAACTAATTAGGTTACCTAGAAGTACCTTTAATTATTACAAAATATTCACCAAATTTTCAACGCTTCCTTTCTATTTGACTGGAAAAAAAATTGTTTCATTGCTATAAATTACTATATTTTTGTATATTCCTTAAATATAATTTTGTTTGCAACAAAACAACAACTGGTTTGTATACTAGCCTCCCCTTTTTATAACGCTTTACAATATCTCGCCCTTTCTACAATGCACTGACACTTAATTATTCTGTTGCCTCCATTTTCAATTGCTTATGTGATGCTTTCAAATATTTATTGTTTTTAATTGCTCAGTACTAGTTATTAAATACATGGCAACATGTGAATAGCATTGTTGACTAGCGTGTTGTCGTTGACTTTGAAGAACACCGAGCGTCAGTCAGTTAGTAAAAAATGTATTTTATTACATGAATATATTCTTATACATTGGTATATATTTATATATATGTACGAGTATACATACATTTTAGTATTTACATTTCATGCTGTACAATCAGCTAGAACCGTGATAAAATAAACTAGTATATTTCGGGGTAGTGCTAGTCCCTGTCAGTGCTTAGCAACTCAGGAGCCTTGAAACATGTTTTTAGTTTTAATTAAATTTTTTTTGTAACTGCTTTATATTTATTCGATATTCGATACAAGGTACTATGAACTTTACACAAGGAGCTTTCTTTAAGCACATCTCAAAGTTGTTAAAATCGCATTTTCAAAGGACTATTAAAAACAAGAAAAACCGTTAACTTCGGTTCGGATCGTTCACTTTGTAAGGTAGCTTATGATGTAGCGATCTGATCTGAACAATTCCTTCGGAGATTGCAATATTGCCTTAGACAATAACCCACGTCAAATTTCGTAAAGATATCACGTCAAATAAAAAATTTAGCAGCTATATGCTATAGTGGTCTGATGTTGGCCGTTCCAACAAATGAGCAGAATATTGGGAAGAAAGGGATAGCTTAAAAACTGAGGGACTAGTTCGCGTATATACAGACGGACGGACAGACAGACGGACATGGCTAAATCAACTCAGCTCATCATGCTGATCATTTATGTATATATTTTATAGGGTCTCCGACGTTTCTTTCTGGGTGTTACAAACTTTGTGGCAAACTTAATAAGCCCTGTTCAGGGTATAAAAACATCCACCCCAATATAATAATGAAGAGCAAGATGCCTAGAAAACTCTATTTTCAATTTTCACGTCACGGATTGAAGTTTTTTTAAGTAGAAAGAAAATTGCGACGCTCCAATTTACGTACAGCTTTGAGCGCACAAAAAATGTAATTATTTTACCTTTATAAAAGTACGGCAACTCTACTTAAATGCGCACTGCGATACCCCATTCCTCAAACGGCATAAATTAAAAATATCCACATTGCATAAAGTTCCGTATAATTAGCATTCAATTTGGCAACCTAAGTATGTCAGCACTGGTCACCTAAATGCAAGTACGAAAAGACTGCAGAGATTCATTCGTAACCCCTATTGCGTACGCCATTCGGAAAAGCATAGAGTTGTATTTGCTTTCAACCAGAGAAATGTGTGCAAGCCTTATAGCCTTAAATCAAAAAGTTAGAAAAAAATATTTAGAGTAACGGGACAGTAATTTTAACCACAGTGTGTAAGGTTGTATGTAAAGCAATCACCAGCTTATAGGACAGTGATATTGACTGAGATCTTTAAACCAGCACTATTTTGTAGTACTTGATTGAGAGGAAGCCACCAAATCATTTACTCACTTATATACTAGTTCACAATCAAAAACAAAGTAATTTACATCTGTTACACGAGTATTTTTGTGTCGCACAAATCTTATTTACAAAGCAGTAGAAGTTTAAACAAAACAAGCATTTTATATTGTATATATTATATATATTTAAGAACACACACTTATATTACAGGTTAATAAAATGTAATTCTTATTTAGAAGAGTAACTTATGTTGAATGATTAACTATATACGAGTATACGACGAGTAATAATATATTTTAATATTTTGAGAGATATATTTCCACATTGCCGTTATAGCCATAAATCATGTAATTAATTTACGTAATTTATGCTTCACTAAGCGTTAAATAATGTATTTAATTATAAAATTTTTTTAATTTTATTTAAATGAGTTATTTCATTTGAGTTATACAGACACAATGATAATGCCAGAAAATTAAATTCACTTTTTGAATTCATGTAAGGTATAGGATTGAGCACATCAATTATATATAATTCATAACATTTTATAAAAGACAAGAACTTCACATCATATAACGAATAATTCCTAAGCGTTCTAAAGGTGAACCCCACGAAAGGGACTCCGCGAGTGTTTAAGTAATTATGTTCCTAAATGCACCGTTAATTTATTTCATATATTTCTAGTCCTAAGATAAACGGCTAGAGAATCCAAGGCCTCTTACGGTAGAGTCCATTATTCGTCGAACCTCGAATTTTTTTTATGCAATGTTATGAATGTTTGAAGGAGAGCGCGCTTTTATGAGTGCACTACAATGAGGCATGTGAAGGCATCACATACATATATGTATACATAAATACAAATATGGCGGAAGTATGTATGTTGAGACGTTAAAAACATTATCTACATAAAGCTGTTTTACTCCTCGAATCGGTTCAATTGCTTGAGATGCCCGCTCCATCTCTGTTTGATAAAACATATTGAAATGTTGAGAGAAAAGGATAGATAATAAAAGCGAGAAATAAGATGAGTTTACATGTGAAAACAAGGAGCAGACAAGAGAGCAAGAGTTCTGAGAAACAAATGTTGAAGAAAACCTGATGTGACAAACAGAGAAAGAGAGAGATAGAGAGAGAGGTATAATCGTTTATGGGATTTCCTAAATTTTACGTTCTGATATGTTACGTTTTACTTTAACTTGAAATGCTTTATTTTTGGTGATTTTGTAAATGATAGAGGCAATTTATAAGAGACTTACCGGAACTGAAATGTGAGCGTTTGGTTTGTTCATTTTCCGGATCGGAATCTAGTGGCCTTTTTCTAGAATCGCCGATTTCGGGGCTTGGGCATGTTTCCATAGCTGCGTCTTCGGCCATTTTAACCTGAATTTTTACTACTCGCACTACTAACTGCTCTTGAATGATTTGGTATGTGAGTGTGGTGGTTTGGTTTGGTTTCGTTACTGCTTATTACTGTGAGCTTTGTCTTAATGCTTTTTGATTAGACGTGCGCCTAATTTTACTTGATAATTATTCAGCACGTGCAAAATTTTTGCTTTTTTTATTTACTTTTCTTGGATTTGGTTGATAGCTAATGATTGAACTGAGGTGTTTGTTTTGATTGCTCTTTTCTTTCTTTGTTTATTTTGTCTTTTCCAACTTTTCTATTCACTGCTCGAATTTACGATTTTGGAACTGCGAACGATCTTGCTACGGAACGATCTGCTCTGACTGAGTTTGACTTTACTTCTACACGCTCCTTACACGCTCGATCTCTGCTTTGACTGCTTGACTGTTTTGTTTTTCTTATTTTTATTATTGCACAGCTGGCTCTCTCTCGTTCCTAAAGACGTGCTTCAAAACTCGCTTTCGCTTCGTAAGCGCATATGAGCTGTTTGTGAGTGAGGGTTTTTTGTTTTTCGAATTTTCTAATTAATCGCCCCTTTGCCTGCCCAATGTGGTGTCGCAATGATGATTGTTTGCTACTTGAAGCAATTTTGTGAATGCAGAGAGATGCAAATGCAAGGCGATGTGATTTTTGCTTTGTTTTATTTTCGATTACAAATCGATGCGAGACAATGCAATGCAGTCGATGCGTTTAACTATCACACAAATCGATCAGATCGGCTTCAGATACTTTTGTTTTCAGCGTTACAGCTTAAATAGCTTTGGCCGAGCTTATCGTTTTTTCTAGTTTCTTGATTTACTTTGCTCTGTTTCGCACTTTGGCTACAGTTATTCCGATCTGACTGCGGTTTTATGCTTTGGTTTACTGTCAGCGCAATGGTGTTTGGATGCACTGTATACGATTGACTTGGACTTGGGTAATTTTGCCTGGTCTGATGACTTTGTTGTGATGGCTGATTTGTTTGGTGGCTGTGACGTTCACTGAGGTCTTTTTACTACTTTTGATCTTATGATCGTGATGAGTTCGTCGCTCAAAGCAAATGCAACACGCAAACGTTTATGGGATGCTTTTATTTGGTCCTTTATTTTGGATGGTAGTGGTAGTTGGTGGTAGTAGTAGTTATAGTAGTATATAGTGGTAGTAGTAGTAGTAGTAGTAGTAGTAGTAGTAGTAGTAGTGGTAGTGGTGGTGGTGGTTGTGGTAGTGGTGGTTTTGTGGTGGAATTGAATGTGCGAATCGATTATTTGATTTTTGTTTGTATGAAAAAAGAAAAAAAGAAAAAAATATTTATGAATAAATGCAGCATAATAATAATAACAATAATAAGAATAACAATTGAATACAAGACAACATTTAATAGTAATAAATCGCTAGCGATTTATCAATATTTTTTCGCACGATTATTCATATAAGTAAGTATGTAATTATGTAATATAATACGATTAATGGTAAACACATTCGATAATCGAATAAATTTTTACAATGAGCTGAAAAGAGGCAGCAAGTAAACAAAAAAAAGCCGAACACTAAACAGCAAGTCGATTGATTTATCGATTAGATGACTGGATGGACAAAGCTGACTAAAAAAAATTTCATTCTTATGCACAGACAAATAAAGAGAGAGAGAGAGATAGATACATGTAGAGAGAGAAAGAGAATAGCGCATACGATTTTATCATGAATAACCGCAAATATATTAGACTCCCGATCAAGCGAAAGATATTTATAATATGTATGGTACATTTGGCAAAAGCTATTTGAATTGATGTTTTATTCTAATTGAGTCTATTTTATATCATCTTTTCGTAAAATATTTATAATTTTATTCAATTGGAGATCCGGGGGCACATAAAAGCACGCGCTGCTTAATTTAGTATGTTAGTTCTCTCAGATTTTTCAAAAAATTAAAATTTAAAACTTCTTTTCCCTATTTTTAAACATTTTTTATTTCTTCATAAGTATTTGATTTGAAATTCCTTAAAATTTCTTATTATTTATAATAACTTTTTACAGTTCTTCCGTATTTAACAATTTTTATTTGCATCTCACAAGTAAATTAATAAAAATATCCTCTCTGACATTTTCAACTAACAGTTTAAATCAAATCCTCTATTATAAATAAGTGAAACTAATTAATTTTGGTTCATTTCTGTACAATTGTTATTCACTTAAGAATATTCTTCAAGCTTTACCACACACATGCTTAAAGACGTTTCAAGCAATTCGTAAATTTTTAGGCAATTTGCTAATTGCGTCAGTTAAAAAGCTGCCTGAAACACCCATAACATTCTCGCATAAATGCTCATTAATTATATTTAACGAACATCTTCCGACTTATCTTAAATGTTTTGGAATGAAAATTATTTTGAGTTATACGTATGTAGGTATGTATTTACAACAACAAGCAAACACAAAAAGCTGAAAAACCAAATTTTAATTTTGAAAATGTTTCATGCCAATGAATGGAGCATCAGTCTAGTTATGAGCGTGTACTGTTAATGCTGTTTCGAACCAATTGTTTTTGAGCGTGTTTGTAATATTACAATACTTGAGGGGCTTAACATAGTAAAATTTTATGAAAAATAATTTCCGATCTAAAAAGTATCGATAGCTAAACATCGTTAAAAAATCGATAACTATAAGTTGATAGAATAATCAATTATTTTTTTTAAATATTGACAAAAACGAATATAAAATAATTAATTATAGGTGTTCTATATCTAATTGGTTCAGCAATTGGAAAAATCTTCTTTCGAACTTAGCCTTTCAAATTTTTTTTTTTTTTAATTTTTTAGAGGTTGACTTAACCTTGCAGCTTCTTTACCCCTCCCCAACCCGTCACTCAACCGCAATGTAACTCAAATAAAATGTTTCCGGCTCGGCAATGAAAGAGTCATCGTGCGCCAAAAACAAAAACAACCAACTTCGAGGGCATGTTACAAGTTTCGGCGCATGTGCCAGTAGGCGTTTTCTAAGCTTTTTTCGTATACGAGTATTTCTGACCAAATTTCGAGTGAGCTGATACTGTAGAATTACACGAGCGGTGATTTAATCATTTTTTTTAAATAATTTGTGGTTATTTTTTTCAGCTTAAATGCTCATATGCAAATTACTCACATATTCGTAATAGGAACTGGTTTTACTGAAAAATAAATACACAGCTGTCAATTGATTTTGAGTTACGAGTATCTACTTGTAATAGTGAGAAAAAAATTACAACAATGCAATAACAAAAGGCCCCAACCGCAGAGGTTATTAAAAATTGGAGGACGATGAGATAAATTGAAATTAACATTTATATTAACAAAACCAAATTAATTTTGTTGAATTCTAAGTTTAAACCGGTCTCTATATATTTATACTTCATTTTGTATTGTAATTAATTTTATAACATTTTCATTTGTTCTTATGGGCGATCGTTGCTTGCTTGATTTGTTAAAATATTTCTCGCATTCTGGCGGCTCGCTGCCGCGCTGTCATCATCTATAGCTTTGAAATGGCCTTGACCATTGCAAACGACAATGCAAAGCAACAATAGCAAAAGCAGCGTTGAACTTTTACAGAAAAATTGCGTTTGCACGAAAAGAAACGCGAAGATTGCGACTTCGACAAACAAAACGAAAACAAATTACGCTTGAACCATGAGAAAAACTGCTTTCAAACAGTGATAAGAGCTCTGCGGCCATATAAAAACTTAAGAAATGCGTAAAAGTGCTCTCTACAAAGTAGACTCTAGCACAAGAAAATGCCATTATTGCAGTAAACCTTTTAACTGAATGACTTCTTTTTAAACTATTTTACAATCGAAATGTTCTGGATGTCTGATAGATAGATTTATTGTACTTCTTTCCCCTAGTCATCAGAGAATCACAAGAATTTCTTTAGTAATTAATTTCAAAGCAGCCAGTGAAATTACTGAAAATTTTCGAAGAATATAACGGAGTCATGTATGTCGTTAACATACTAATAAGTGTATTATCGATATCAATAAAATTCTCAATAACTTTGTAATAGCGATAGAAATTAAATATATGCAAACGATATATTAATATAAAAAACTGTATCTAGTTTTTATCAAAAGTTCTATGCTACCTATTTTTCGATAAAAATTTTTTTATTTTTATTTTAGGTTTACGAATTTTATTTTCATATTCGATAGGTTATACCTTTAAAAATTAGATGTTAAATTTTCAAATCGACATCTCAAATAGCTTTCAAGTTACAGCCTTCTAAAGAATAGCCGCATAGCTCAATCAGCTCCATTAGTTTATTTTTAAATGATTCGATGACCATCTGCATATTCTGTTTATAGTAGTTATCCCTACAATGGCATACCAATTTAGGCAGACCACCAAATTTTTGAATAAAATTCAACTTTTTTAAAAACGTCACCATTTTTTCAATTATTTTTTTTATCTGTTGCTCATTGTACTGACACTATCTTCTAGTAAACTATTGTTATATTTCGGTTTCATTCACGAATAAGGCCGGAATTACTGCAGCAGTAAAGGGTTTTTTAACGCCGTCGGAGATTGCAAAAAATATTTAAGTTTTTACTTCAAAAACATGAACGTTTTAATTTGATCAATATAGTAAAAATATGCAACTCACTACAATTTTATTTGAACTTAGTATTTTTAACATAATATATAATATTATAAAGTATTATTATTACTAGAATTATTACATTTACGTTCCCTAAAATGTAGGATGAGCTAATCTTCTATAGTTCAATTGCAAGAAATTTGTATTGCATTTGGTGTGCTGCTTTTGCGTCAAGCAACGGAACAAAGCTTTTACCACTCTATTGCGTTTACTACTGGGTCGTAATGAATTTTCATATGCGCCCCTCACTAATGATGCTACTAAATTTTATGCATCGTAATCTTCGTTTTCAAAGTCGCAGATCGACATGCGATCATTAAATCGGACTGATCATTAATTTATACACAAAAACGGCAACCTGTTTCAAGTTTTAAAACTGCTTTTATGAATTGAAACCGAAAAACAACAACAATGAATAGCATCGCCAACTTGCGCACTTGCTCAAAAATCACAAAACAACTAATTAACATTTCAAACTTTTAAAAAAACAGCGCAAAGATTTGAAATATAAACACTTCGCGAGTTGTGAAATACTGGAAAAGTAGAACCTGTGAGGTTATAGCGGTAAAACTTGTATGCGCTGTCGAGCAAATGCCACAACAAACGAGGATGAGCTCAGAAGTGTTTAACCGAACGCCACCAAAGAATGCTTAGGAACCATGTAAGCTTAGTAATTTGCTTTGAAAAGAATAGAAAAGGTAAATATTTAAATTTACAGAAACCAGTTAAACGTTGCAAAAATCTGTTCAATTATTAAGCTTTAATTTACATACTTACATACATGTAAATATTATATAAGAAAATTTGTAAGCACAAACGTACATATGTAACCACAAGTAATAAAAACAAAACCCATCGCTTGACACTCATCTCTTTGGCAAGTTGACAAAAACCGCCAGCAGTAACCAGAGTAAAATCGAAAAAAATAAAAGAAAGCAACAATATACCTTTTAGCAAATGCACATTGAACAAAAAAAAACAAAATGGTTGCTGCGGCGTGCTGTTGACAACATATTGCACCAGAATGCAGCGGTGCAAGCAACCAGCCAAGAAATTCCATGGCTACACCAGCCGCCAAACTTCCGCAGCGAAAAATAATATGACCACTTATACAAACACACATAAACACATATGCACATATAGTTATAGGTAAATGTGTGCATGTGTTTGTGGCACATTTTTCATACTCTTATTATTTTTACAAGAACAATTCGAAAGTTGCAAAGCGGTTGGTTTGCGCTAGGTGTTGGTGCCCATTGCTGCGGCTGCCAACACGAGCTGTGTCCTTGAAGCCACAATTCAGCCAAACAAATATATTTCGGTGCTCTGCGGCTGTCACAGCCAAAAAATTATTGCAAATATTTTCTCATTTTCAAAATATGCGATGCAGAAAATTTCTACAAGTCACAATTTAAACTGAACAAAAAATTCGCGCTTTATTAAGCTTTATAAGCGATTGCACCAACAACGCACA